TCTTTTGTCTTCTTTGATGTAGAGGGCATCGATGCCGGTGCCATGTCATGCACCACAAACATCTCTCTTGCTGCATGCTGCTCATCATACACTGCTTTTACTCCATCATTGGTTGGAAACTTCATCATTTGATGAAGGGTTGATGGCACTGCCCTCATACTATGTATCCACGGCCTTCCAAGTAAGGCATTGTATCTCATGTCACCTTCGGTGACATGAAACTTGGTATCTTGGATTGTACCGACTACGTTGACCGGGAGGATGATCTCCCTTTTCGTTGTCTCGCTTGCCATGTTAAATCCATAGAGGACTCGAGAAGCGGGTATGATCTGGTCGAGCAGTCCGAACTGCTCCACCACCCTCAACCTGATTATGTTGGCCGAGCTACCTGGATCCACAAACACACATTTAATTTGAAATTTATTCAAAAGAAAAGAAATTACCAGTGCATTATTATGAGGCTGAGACAAGGTTTAGATGTCCTCTTCGCTGAATGTGAGAGCATCCTCTGATATGTAACCCCGAGTTCGCTTTTCCCTGGTGATGGATATTCTCGTTTGCTTGACAACGGGTCCTTGTGGGGCATTGACCCCTCCAATGATCATGTGGATGACGTGTTGTGGTTCTTCTGGTTCGTTCTTCCTGTTCGCCTCTCTTTCCCGAAATTGGTTTTTAGCTCGATCGCTGAGGAACTCTCGAAGGTTCCCTTCACTGATCAGTCGGGCTACCTCTTCTCGAAGCTATCCGTGATCCTCGATCTTATGACCGTGAGTGCCATGATATTTGCATACCAAGTTAGGGTTCCTCTGTGAAGGATCTGACATTATGGATTTTGGGAACCTGGTATCTTTGATTTTACCTATGGTCGATACGATGTCCGAGACATCGACGTTGAAGTTGTACTCAGATAACCGGGGTGCCTACCGGCCAGTGTGCCTATCGAACCCAACTTTATTCATGAGTCCCCGGGAACTTTGGCCTCAATCTGTCCTTCGATCGCCTCGAGTGTATTACGCTTTGGGGCGTTTCTTCGATCTTCTACATACGGCTGGTATCTTTCCTTGTTTGGTTTTGACTCCCTTTCTGTAAACCTTTGTTCCTTTGTTATGAGCCTTCTAGGATATACTGAGCCTAAGGGGGCTTCTAATTGGTCGTCTTCAACCCTGATCTTCGATTGATACCTATTGTGCACATCCTCCCAGGTCACGATGGGATATTCGATCAAATTTTGCTTTAGCTGCTTCGAAGCTATCGAGCTTCATTCGTTCAAGCCCTAAGTGAAGGCCTGCACTGCCCCGTCATCGGAGACCGGTGGTAATTCCATTCACTCTATCTGTAAGCGAGATACAAATTCCCTCAGCATCTTGTTCTCCTTTTGTTTGATCTTGATGATGTCGGACTTCCTTGTAGCAACCTTGATGGCACCGGCATGTGTCTTCACAAAAGAATCTTCCAATATGGCAAACGAATCCATCGAGTTCGGGGGTAGGTTGTGATACCACATCATGGCTCCCTTCGATAGTGTTTCTCCGAATTTCTTTAGCAAGACAGATTCAATCTCATCATCCTTTAAGTCATTCCCTTTTACACCACAAGTATAAGCGATAATGTGCTCATTGGGGTCCGCGGTCCTGTTATACTTCGGGATATCGAGCATTCTGAATTTCTTCGGGATAGGCTTCGAAGCCGCATTTGATGGGAATGATTTCTACACGAACTTCTTTGATCTACACCCTTTAGAATGGGGGGTGCACCCGGGATCTGATCGACCTTCGAGTTATAAGTCTCCACCTATTTATCGTTAGCCTCTATCTTTTTTTCTCCTGACTCGATTCTTTTAGTCAATTGCTCGAGCATTTTCATGATTGTGGGGTCAGTCCCCGAGCCACTTTCATCGGGTCTTTTTAGCATTGGTTCATGCTGCATGTTTACTGGTTCGGCGGTGTTAGGGGTTCTGTTCTGACTTTGAAGTTGAGCGATGGCGACTTGCTGAGCTTGCAGCATCTCGAATATGACTTAGAGGCAGACTCCTCTTTCTTCCATTCCTCGTGCTTTTTGGCCTCCAGCCTGGGCTTCCCTGCGTCCATTCCTTACGGAGTCTGCGCCCGTTTCCGTGTTTAGAGCGTTGTGGGAGCTGATATCAACAGGCTCCACGTTTGGCATTCCCTCAGGGTTTACAGGTGGTACGCTGAGCCCTATGCTGCTATTTTCTCCAAGTCCTTCACTGTCATGAGCAGGTGCATTTTGTGTGCTAGACATATTTTGGCCTCAAATCAAAAAATCTTTGACAAGAAAAAGTGTGAAGAATAACATGTGTTATCAAAAAACTAGCACCAAAATAATCACTATTATTTTTAGCCCCACGGTGGACACCAAACTGTTTACCTTGAAAATAGTATTAACAATTATATTTGATTTTGTGGTTCTAAAAATATGTGATTTATTTTAATACTAGTTGTTAGGCAATAGATGCTAAGAGTAAGTGAAAAGAATAAGATATGCAAACCAATGTTGTAGCAAGACTGGGCCTCGAGGTGGCTGGAACAGGGGGCCTCGAGGTCTAGTTAAGCAGTTAGTAATGAACAATTGACGAAGAAACAATGATATCGAAGGCCTTGAAGATAGCCTTTTGCGGTTAATAATGGAAAATAAATGAAAAACAATAAATGAACGATAAATAAACAAAAAATGAACAAGTGATAAATCTGTAGAGTAATTGTTGAGCACGTTTAGGCAAGAAAAGAAGAGAATGTTCTATTGTATTCAATATTCCTGTCTATTACAAAATGACAAGGGTCCCCTTTATATAGGGGGGGGGGGGGAATCCCAATATAGTAAATGCCTAATAATGACGAGAAAATGCTATTGGTACGGCTGTATAATGGCCTAGTACGAATTTGTACTATTCTTGCAGACCTGGTCAGCTCTAACCACGTGTCCTTGGGAGCTTTCCCGCTTTTTCATGACGATCATCGATTTGTACTGCTCCGAGATTGATCACAATGAACCTTCGATATGCTCCCTCGAGGGACGCACCTCGGGGTCACACTTCAAATTCTGCTTCGAGCTTCTCGAGGTCGGGCGTGAAGTGCCACAGTATCTCCAAAATCGAACTCCCCGATTTTGGCCGTATACACTCTTCGTAGGTGTAGGGTTTATAAAAAAATTCCTTATTTCTACTCCTTACCAAGTGTAGGTTTTATAATGTGAGTTCTTGGCAGAGGTAGCAATCATAATGTAATAGTGTTAACTTAAAAAAGTGAACAGAAAAAACAAAAAGGCTTTTTTTTACATGTTTAATTAGAAAATAAGAGAGAGAGAGAGATCCTATAATATGAAAAAATACAAGAAATAGAATTATAGTAGAACGGTGGAGCATTAATTCAACAATACTTAAGTGGTAGCTAAAGTCAAAACTGAACTTGATTGAAAGCACATGAATGGTTGGAAATTAAAATGGAATACCTAAACTTAAGACCAGCTGTTGCCTTTGCTTACACATTTCAATTAGCTGTCTCATTGTAAATTCTTAAACCTAAAGGCACGAATTTTTGTTGTTCAACTGTGTGGCATTAAAATTTAACAGGAAGGTTTTTTTTTTTGGGTGCTGTGATATGTTTTTGAATTTTGCGCATAACTGGAACTCAATACGCCAATTGTCTTTTCATATTTTTCTTTCATGTAGAATTATTAGGTCAAACACGATAAAAATATAACATATGGTTGGTGATAAGACGCAAACAGAGAATGCATCCATTATATCATTCTATTGAACTGTTCGAACAGCAAAATCTAAATTAGTAGAGGAAAATATTTTTATTTATTTATTTTATATCTACAACATTTATATATGTCCGCCATTTCTAGTCTTTCAACTACGAAGCTTCACTAGTTACTATATATGCTTCGAGTTTGCATATTTTCCTTCTTATTTTCTTCTATTTTTGTTTTGTTTTCTTTACCTCTTTCCTTCTCTACTCATGTTCTAGCTCTTTCCTATTCCTTTTTTTCCTCTTAGTTCTTCACTCTCCAGTTCTACTTCATAATAACTTCCAGAGTACTCTATTTTATTTTTAACTTTACAATTTAAAAAGGATGTCACTTTCGATATTAATAATTAGATAGAATTTGGAAATATAAGTTTCTTTAGTTGACAATGAGGGAATGAATTTAGAATAAAAACTTGTCGAGTTTGTATTAGATTTTCCTTTTTGCAGAAGAACAATCTTATATGAGGTGGCCTTTGCTGGTTTTGGAAATTCATTGAATAGGTGTCATATAAACTAGTATGAGACAAATAATTTGCCGGTTGGAAGCAACTCAAGAAAGAATACATTATTTCACTGGACTTCGAAATGCATTTAATAAAATGAAATAGGAGAAGATGATTAAGTGAAATTGCAATTTTTCAAAGACAAAAGGCATTTGTCCATGAGATTTTTCTTTTTTAATTTAAAAGAGAAAAATACAAGGTGGCCTTTGTCCAAGTCTTTTGAAGAAGTTTTTGCAAAAAGTTTTTCTTTCCAATTGTGGTCTGAGGCATTCGAAATAACTTTTCTTTATCAAAAGAACTCTTTCACAATTATCTAATATTTACTCCTCTAGGATGCATTAGATATGATGAAAATAATTTCCATGAATATTAATAAAAGATGTTTTACTTTGAAAGGTTAATGCTACTTTAATACCTATTTTTTCCGTTTCAATTTATAAGATACATAGTCAAATGACATCTTATATTTAAAAATAATTTAATTTTAAATTTTTTATTTTACTCTTAACTAGAATCATACAATTGTTATGACCCCATTAATTTTTATCTCTTAAGTATTTAGCAACACAAATTTCAAACATCTTTTTTCTACTTCTTAAAACTAAAACAGAAGACGTAAATTTTTTATTTTTTTTGTATATTTTTTTGTGTGTGTTTGATTGAATGTTAAAATATTACTGCTACACATATGGATGAGTTCCAACTGGAGGACATTATTAATAATGCTCAAACATGTCTTCATGGACCAATTTCCTTTCTTTAAACAGCTCTCATGCCTCCTCTCTAGACTATAATTTTCCTACTTAATGAAAATTCACATGCTCTGTTAGTTGAAATAGAATTCACCCATTCTTCTTCAATAAATATGCTTCACTTCCCCCCCTCACCTTTTCTCCTCCATTTCTAATATTTCAAAAACCCACAAAAATAGAATTTCCCATGAAAAGTTGTAAAGTTATTCTCTTTTTCATCCTTTATTTGTTCCTCATATATTTATCAACTGCTTTCTCCCCTCAAGATAATTACTTGATAAACTGTGGTTCAAATACTGATGCTATAGTTGATAACAGGCACTTTCTTGGGGACTCTAATGACCAAAATTCAGTTCATACCTCTCAAGGTAAGTCAATTTTTCAAAAAAATCCAAACCCATCTTCCAATTTGTCTTTCCTTTATACTACTGCTAGAGTTTTCAATGGTGCTTCAAAATATGTTCTGAATATCAAGAAGATTGGGACCCATTTTTTGCGCCTTCATTTCTCTCCTTTCACTGCTCAGAATTATGATCTAAGAAAAGCAAGTTTCAGTTTTTCTGCAAATGGGGTTCTGCTTTTTAGTAATTTTAGTGTTAATACTACTGTGCTTAGAGAGTTCATATTGATGGTGGATAATTTTGAGCTTGAAATTGAGTTCACACCAACTTATGAATCCAATTTTGCTTTTGTGAATGCAATTGAAGTGTTTTCAGCTCCTGATGATTTCATAATTGGTGATGGGGCTAAATCAGTTGGTCCTAGGGGAATTCAGGAGTTCAATCAGAATATGACATTACAGACATTAGAAACTGTTCATAGGATTAATGTTGGAGGGTTAAAGTTAACTCCTTTTAATGATACTATGTGGAGAAGTTGGGTTCCTGATGAGGATTTTCTTGTCTTGAAATCTGCTGCTAAAATAGCAAGAACCTCTCATGTTCCAAAGTATCAAAAGGGTGGTGCCACAAGGGAAATTGCTCCTGATAATGTGTACATGACAGCACAACAGATGAATAGGGAGAATGTAACTACAGATTTCATATTCAATATCACATGGAACTTTCCTGTGGATATTGGTGATGCGTCGCACTTTGTTCGCTTGCATTTCTGTGACATTGTTAGTATGGCACCTGGCCAGTTGTACTTTAATGTATATCTCAACGGGTTCACAGCGTACAAAGACCTTGATTTGTCTTCCGTTACATTCCGTGAGCTTGCTACACCGTATTACATAGATTTTGTGGTGTACTCAGGCAGTTCAGGCGTTGTGCAAGTAAGCATTGATCCTTCTAACCTAAGTAGTACTATGAGGAGGAATGCCATTCTGAATGGTGTTGAGATTATGAAAATGGTTAATTATGTGGCTTCAAAATCAGGTTCTAAGAAGAGAAATGTTTGGGTTATAGTGAGTTCTGTTCTTGGAAGTTTTATTCTGCTGAGTGTGGTTATACTTGCTGCCTTGCTATTCTTTGTCTGCAGAAAGAAAAAGCTAAAACCAAAGCGTTCAGAA